TCAGACGTGTGCTCTTCCGATCTCCCCAAAACCCCAAAACCCCAAAACCCCAAAAAGTATAGATTGTGTTTTGATCAGCAACTATGAAATTTAGAATTTATAAGATATAAAAACAACAAGATAAACTTATTAGGTTGATAATAGACTATTTATTCTTTACAATCATCAAACTTTATTACAAAATGCTCAATCCGTCTTTATTTAGACGCATCTTCACTATATTTGTTCTTGTCTTTACAATGCTTCTCATTTTTTATACATTGCTTGGAGTACCATCTCGTCTACCATGTCGTAAGAATACAAAAACAGGTCGTCTTTAAGTTCCTTCCCTAAGCAAAAGAGTCGGATGTTCTCGACAGGATTTTCTTTGTCCTCAGTCTTTTCCAAAAACTTCTTCTTGAATTCTAAAATGGACATAAGATTTGTTGCCCCCAGTACTACATCTCCTTTTTTAGATCTTACTTTTAACGCCTACATTTTCGATTAAAAAGGACTAAATTTGAATATACATTAAAAACTTTTTCATTTGGTTTTGATTTGGTCTTTAGTTTTTAATCTTGGTAATTCACACTATAGTTTAGTGGATCATTTATGCAACTGATAGGCACTCGGTAGTATACTCCATTTTCATCTATTACCAAGGTCAATGAGTTTTAGGGCATTGTAAGTCCAGCAGCTTGAATTAATGCTTCTGCAGTCTCTGGTACTTCCTCACATGCGTTTCTTAACAATTGCCATATATGCGATGATCCCTAAGTTCTAGTCTCTATACAATATAATTAGTAAGTGTTCAACTTAAAATGTCGTGAAGAATAGTAATACGTAATCAAAGCCAATTTGTAAATAACTGTTGATTTGGTAATTGAATGGACATGTATTGAGTCCTTACAGACCCCAAACACTCACTTAAAATGTATAACTTACCCCAAAACTCTTTCCTCCATTTATCCAACTCATGCTTTGTCAGGGGTGTTTCATATGATGGAGTCTTCTTTATGCCCTCCCCTGTCGTCTGTGTAGTTAACACTTTCTCTATTAAGATAGATTATACTCAAAAATGTTTTCTTACCGACATTAGGGTTTTGCAAATATGAGATTCTTGAAACTTGATTTGAAGAGCTATTTTGATTGTCTCTATTTGAGAGCGCACCATGTGCGGCTCCTCCTTGAGCTTATCTTGAAGCCTAATTGTTAGCTCTCTCAGGAGGATAGTGCGAATGACTGCCTGGATTGTGATTCCCATTCTAGTTCTGAATAGCCCTCTACTCTGTTTAACTCATACAGCAACCCATTTCGATTTAGCTCTAATAATATTTTAATTAATTATTTCTTATTGTTTATTTCCCTGATTATTTTTAGAACAGAGTCTACTTTTAACTAAACAATTGAATAATGGGGTTTTGGGGTTTTGGGG